CAAAATCACATATTGATATTTGGCAGGATATTGCCCAAAAAAAATTTTCTATAACTACATGTGACGAGGAGGAGGGAGGGGCCAGGCTGTGAGGATGCATGCCTAGTACTGAGTTGTCTAATCAGTGGGAGAGAGTAATAAAGAAGCGTGTGGAAACGCCTGAGGGAGAGAGAGATGCACGCATGTTTTATGTTGGTGCTACGTTTGTGGTTTCTGTTATGCTTAAGTTCTGTTTATTATTAAAACTTTATGTTTCAGTTCACTCGGTTCCTGCCTCCTGCTTGCCCATTTCGGAAGTCTGTTACACTACACCAATCAGACAGACAAGACAAGACGGCATCTTTGTTTTCCTGATCTAGCAATCTACACCATGAATATATGAAGAATGCCAGCGGATCAGGACTTTTGCCATAAGGAACGTGAGAGTGCCAACACATATGAACTCAAACAAACTAACCTCTCTTTCAAGATTCCAGAGAATCCTTTATGATCACTGACAAACTTATGGATTCCTACATCCACTTCACTGAGACCATGTTTCATCATATCAGCAAAGCTCTCTCCTTCTCCATCTTCATCCTCCAAAGACTCCTCTTCTCCACCCTCCTCTGCCTCCATCTCTTCTTTTTCTTCCTCTGTTTGTTTGGCGACATGGCTGCCATTTGCTTCATCCTCAAGTCGGGCTTTCTTAGCAGTATGTTCTGAGTCCTCCTCAGGGCACCCTCGCTTCTCCCCAAGATGAATCAGGTTTGTCGAAGCCTCCTTGTCCTCCATTGGCACAAATCTGCTGTGTGCAAGAAAGAAGGAGGAAAAAAAGAGTTTTCACAGGATACTTACATGGTGCTGTAGTTAGAATGTAGTAACAAGAAAAAAATGTAACATATGACTTTACAATAAACCCAGTAGGGTTACTCACCTCCAGGAGGAAAACTGTTGGAGAGCAGGAAAAATCTTTTGCTTATGATGAGATTTTTGAAGACTCCTTGACAGGTTAGGGAAAAGGCACACTCCTGAAGGATAAGGACACAGAGTGAGAGTTCTGTTGGGGGAAAACAGGAAATGTAGACATTTAACACAGACATGGTGCACAACAGAAGCACAAATAAAGCTGGACACACAATCACACAGTCTCACAATCTGATTCTTCTAATTCTTGCAACTAGAAGGACATTTAAATGATAAATGTTTGCAGAAGAGTAGAGCTTTAGAGTGCTGCATGTCTTGGACAAACAGAAAGGTCGAGGCTATGATCAACTACTCCCTAATCATTACACATTACACACAATTTCACAGTGAAGCTGTTTCTTGGAGACACTGCAGGAATTGTAATGTCTGCTACAGCTAGCATGTGAGCACCAGCAGCTAGTTTGGTGTTTAGAAGCCAAGCATGACCGTGTCTGGTTAGGTAACTGAGACAAGCTCATGCCTCGTGCATTACTGCTCTAAACGTCTTAGCACTTCATGCATTTAACATCCAAAATGTCTAACTGTACTGTGGAGAGCTTGGCTCGTAATAACATGCTCACCTGATCCAGACCAGTCTTATTGGCCGCAGTGCCGCTACCAGCATGAGAAAGCAGCATGTGTTACAGTCCGCGCTACTCCGGAAGTGTTTACTCGGATAAGCCCCGCCTCCCGGATTTCTTTGGCTTGAATCCCAATCACACCGATTGTGTACTAGCCATATAAACGCACTTTGTATATTATTTAATATTTGCTTTTACACCATGTAGATGTAGAAGAGATAGATGTATACATGTAAAAAAGTGCAGTTTTAATTTGTTTTGTTTGCAACATTTCATTATGTTTAGGTTTTTATTGATATAGATAGACAAAAAAAACCAAAAAAAAACAATGGGTTTAACGTTATAGAAAGGAGCACAAATTTGAACGTCATCCTGTTTACCTATTGGAGCCATTAGGGACTTTTGTTCCTAGTTTAACGTCCCAATTTAGACCCCCAGCGCACCAGTGGTGGCTCAGTGGTTAAGGCTCTGGGTTACTGATCAGAAGGGCAGGGGTTCAAGCCCCAGCACTGCCAAGCTGCCACTGTTGGGGGGAAAAAGTAGCAACACTCTCTGCTGTATCATGGCTAACCCTGTCCTCTGACCCCAGCTTCCTAACAAGCTGGGGTAAGCAAAGAAAAGAATTCTACTGTGTAGTGTATATATGACAGATAAAGGCTTCTGCTTCAAACCATATAGACTACTCCTCTATCTGTAGAATGGAGACCAGGTGCTAACCCATCACAGGGGGCAATCACACACTACACACAATTTGGTTGTCTTTAAACTGGGGAGCACCCGTTGGAAACCCTCTCAAACAGGGCGAAGATGGGAATTGAACCCACAACCCTGGAGCTAACCACGCCCTTCCAATCCAATTACTCGTTTACTGCCCGTTGAATACAACACAGTAGTTTATTAAATGATGTGGTCGGTTGGATTAAGATATAGGGTTAAGAGCTGCTTGTCCCACTTGTATGAACTAGTATAGGCTTCAAATGCAGCCTACAGATACATAATGAAATTTTACGTGTTCACATGGGGCTCACCTGTGCAGAGGAAACTCACCGCCTGTAGCATTACATTATGGGAGCCGGGACACTGATAACGCGCGCGCCCGTCTATCTGTGCGCGCTAATGTTGGGAATTCCTTTCAGTGAATCAGAACAACTGGCTCAGCTCACCAATAAGAACCGACTCTTTCGGCTCCCAAACGGTTCATTCACAGGATTGATTGATTGATTGATTTAGAGATATTGTAGTGAAGCTAAAAGCTAATTGTGACCTGTAATGCTTCTTTTTTGGTCTGTCTATTATTAAATCAAATCTTAAACTAGCATCTAGTAAACATAATAACATTTCTTTGCACTGTGCTTCTTCTACAATTTATTAAACTACTTGCAAAAACAGCGAGACACTATGTATTTGCATAGACAGCAAACATTCCTGCATTCATAATACTGTGTCTGCGTTTCCAGAAGAATTTGAAGATAATTCCTATTTATCCTGATAACTTTTCACCTCCCCAATACACTACACTACAATATGCTGGGCCGAATAACTGAGTTGCATTGCATATAACACCATTAGACTTATCAAACACTGATGAATTTTCTGTAATAATTGCTACCGTATTATTAGTTTTGCCTTTAATTTACCGAAAGACTATTGGTTTTTGCCTTAACTTTACCATTCAAATCCAAAGAGTCGGTTCGTTTACAAAAGAGTCGATTCGTTTGTAAAAGAGTCGATTCGTTCTCGAACGACACATCACTCGTGCGCGCGCTTTCGCTACTGGTTGACTGAGGGAGCGCGCATCCTCCTCCGGCGAGACTGGCGAGAGAAGCGGCCCATCGCTGCCTCCGACGGCGAGGACGGAGGACATCATGAGCTCCAGAAAAGGTAGAGATTTTATTTATTTGTTTTATGAATCAAAAAACTATCTGTTAATGTTGGCACAGCTTTTTAGAAGCTTCTTGTTGAACCAGAGAGAGTGTGTGTGTGTGTATGTGTGTGTGTGTAAGAGCTTTGGGTTGAAAGAGATGCTTTCACCGGACAGCTAGCTTATCGCGTTCTTCCTCTGTTCTCACCCGCTCCTCCCCCGGTCCTGTCTTCAACCTCTCCTCCTCGCACCCTTCCCCGACCTCTCTCCTCCAGTCATGGCTATCCAGGCTCGGAAAAGGAGGCCGAAAGGGAAGAAAGACAAGGCGACTCACCATCGAAGGTAAGTAATGAGGGGCGGCGGTCGGTTCACGGCGCGACTTGTGTGTTTTTGTGTCCGACAGTGAGAGATGCAGGCGCCCTGAACATCACAGGGCTGTTAATGTGCACAGGGTCGGTCCACACACACACACACACACACACACACACACACACATGCGAGCGTTCAGCTGTACAGCTCAGTATTCCAGCCTGCAGTAATGGCCGGAGCGGAGCGAGTCGGAAGTTGCTCATGGCAACGGAGGCAGTTTGTGTGTCTGTTTATTTCTTCCGTGTTTGTGTTTACATCTCTGTTGTTTTATATATATATATATATATATATATATATATATATATATATATATATGTTAGCTCTAGCGTGTAATTGTGTCAGGTACAGTGTACGTGTACAAACACACCGAAAGAAAGAAAGAAATGAATATATTGACATACAGGGTTAGGGGATGGAGGGATGACACGGCGGAGTAAAGGAGTAAAACACCACAGCTCACACACACCGTTCAGTACGGCAGTGTGCGGTTTAGTGGGCGTGTGGTGCGGGTGTGGTGTGTGTGTGTATGTGTGTGTGAGACAGATATGAGTCCTGGGAGAAGTACCAAGGTGGCACACTTGTGTAAAACGGAATGCTGTGCACTGAATAAACGCTCCTTCCCTGTTGCTAGAAACTGGTCTGTGTGGAGAGTGACGTCAGCCGGCAGCCGTTAGGTGATTCCCTGTTTCCCGCCACTCTCGCGCTCCAGAAAGTGCTGGAATAAACTGCTGCTCTAGAGCTTGTCTGGATGGATGTAGTAATCCATACAGCTCTGACCTGACACCAAGACCAGCTACACACACAGACACGAGTCACCACCACCACACCCCTGACACCCAGACCCTGACCATGACCTCTCAAGGTTCAAAGTTCTTTATTTGTCACATACATTTTACATACATGTGATGTAATGTAGTGAAATGTTTTTCCTTAGTTCCTTGTCTTAAAGCGCAGCAACGAACAGAACTAACAACGAACTAAGATATACACACATAATAAAAATAGAATATAATAAAATCTACTAGACATATAATAAAATGTAGTAGCCTATAGAGGAACGATGTTGTTCTTCTTTCAGCTGCTCCTGTTAGGGATCGCCAGAGCAGATCATTGATCCGCGTATTTGATTTAGCACAAATTTTACGCCGGATGCCCTTCCTGACGCAGCCCTCCCCAATTTTATCGGGGCTTGGGACTGGCACCGGGAGCGCTCTAGCCTGTGTACCCCCAGGGGCTGGGGTTGGTACCCAGCGTGGGGCTCAAATCCACGATCAAGAGTCCCATGCTCTACCAACTGAGCTAGCCAGGCTCCAGACTCCAGTGGATGGGGTTGGTTCTCTAGCTGGGAATCGAACCCAGGCCACGGCAGTGAGAGCGCCATGGGCTAACCACTAGTCCTCCAGGGACCAGTAACCTATAAAGGAATGTAATGTGAATAAAATAGAATATATATAAATTAGAATATGTAAAGAAAAAAATATGCAAATACACAGAGTTTTTCACTTAGGATAAGCTCTTAGCATCTACAGTATCTTGCTGGCAGTAGCTCCACCCTGTGTGAATGCAGGGGTCACACTAGCTAAGCGACAGGCAGCAATTCATTTCCTGTGTAATTTTTCAACACAGAGGCAGGATGTGGGGGACAGTAACAAGCGACATGACAACAGTGCAATGTTTGAATTGAGCTTTCCACAATTTTATGCTAATTAGTAATGATACGGTTTAAAAAATTCAAATTATTGACTCCAGTAAATTTCTTGGACTAATTGTATGCCTTGGGTTGTGCAGTATCCTCCCAATCGTCTAGTCCCACAAGTGTTTAGTCTCATTTAACTACAAAACTACCAGGTGAGCTGGTTTATGTGGTGCCTGGCTAGCTAAGTTGGTAAAGCATGGGACTCTTGATCGTGGATTTGAGCCCCACGCTGGGTGCCAACCCCAGCCCCTGGGGGTACACAGGCTAGTGCACTCTCAGTGCCGGTCCCAACCCCAGATAAATAGGGAGGGTTGCGTCAGGAAGGGCTTTTGACGTAAAACCTGTGCCAAATCACTATGCGGACAATGGAAGGTGATCTGCCGTGGCGACCCCTAATGGGAGCAGCCGAAAGAACAACAACATTAGTTGTATGTTCCCTTTGAACAAGTTTCCAAAGCCTTCAGAAGATTGGAAAACAATGTCAAGCAGTTTTGAAAAGTCATTCTCTCACATCAGCAGTGACAGGTCAGTATTGGTAAAGTGATGTTACTTATAATCCAACCCAAAAAGACTTGGTGGTTAAGAGCACAGAACGCTGCTGATGTAAATATTGATTATTACCTTCAGCATGCTGGAAGGAGACCACGTCTTGTCTGAGATTGTAAGAGACCAAGACCAGATTCAGGAACCAGAAAATTGGTTTCTGTGGTCTTAAGCCCCAAACCATGAAGTGGGCTCACTTGCATCTGGGTGTCTTATACACTATATGGCCAAAAGTTTTTGGACACCTGACCATCACACCCATATGTGGTTCTTCCCTAAACTGTTGCCACAAAGTTGGAAGCACACAATTGTATAGGATGCCGTTGTATGTTGTAGCATTATAATTTCCTTTCACTGGAACTGGAACAGTGAGGTCCATGAAGACATGGTGTGTTAAGGTTGGAGTGGAAGAACTTGAGTGTCCTGCACAGAGCCCTGACCTCAACCCCACTGAACACCTTTCCGATGAACTGAAACACCGACGGCACCCCAGACCTCCTCACCCAACAACAGTGCCTGACCTCACTAATGCTCTTGTCGTTGAATGAAAACAAATCCCCATAGCCACGCTCCAAAATCTAGTGGAAAGCCTTCACAGAAGAGTGGAGGTTACTATAACAGCAAAGGGGGACTAAGTCTGGAATGGGCTGTTCAAAAAGCACATATGGATATGATATGATTAGGATGTAGAGTAAAGAAACCACATGTGGGGTCTTCTGTATAATGTTTATTGTATTTTTATTTATTTATTTTTGTATTTCCCCCATGTTTACTCCCTAACTTGGTTTTGCCGATTCCCATTCACTAGCTAACTCTCCCATATCACATGGCAACTATCAGCCAGGGAGGTTGGAGAAAACACGTGCTTCCTCCAAGACACATGAAGCCAGCCAACCACAGCTTATAGAACTGCTGCTCATGCTGCTGCATCACAGGGCAGCATAACACACTCAGACGAACACTATCTAATCTCTAACACTATCTACTGTCTAATAACGTCTCTTCATGTATTATATAAGAAAACCAAATTAATTAATGTTATTCTATTTTGAAAAACTGAGCACACTATAGCAAAGGCCTTGGTGATACAATGATAATTATTGTTGTAATTATTGTATATATATTTTTCGATATCCATAATTTACATTTGATGTAATTTAGAGTATTAAGCAAAGACTTATGCCGCGTTCAACTACAGCTTGTAACTCAGAATTTCTGACCTCTGACTAAGAAAAACCAAAGACAACATACAACACCTCCTCACCTCGGAATTCCTACTTGGAAAGGTAAAAAAATGACATAATTCTGAGCTCTAACTTCCCGAGTTACTCTTTAAAATTACACACAGACAGAGCAGGAAAAGAAATCCAGCCATGTACTCTTAAGCTCGCAGAACAAGTGAGTGTTGTGAGACTAGTGATTTTGTATGACGGGTATTCAACTAAAATTTGTAAAAGTCCAGTTTCATAAAATTTCTTGCTTACAAATGTTCAGATAAACAGCTAACGTGATTGAATGGCGACAAGCGTTACCTTTTAATGCTTAAACATCAATGATTAGTTTATGGTTATAAAGCAGTCAATTTGAAGTGACTGTGTTTTGGTTCATAGTAGCGCTACACGTTATCATTTTTGACTGACATCACGGACTGTGGACAGATGACTGTTTTGAATATGAAGTGGGGAGAACATACGCATACTTCTTTGTTGACTTTTTTAAACAAGCCATGTTGCCAGTTTGCTAATCTGACCACAGAGGGTAAATCAAGTGGAAAATCTAGGAAAGCATGTAAAAACTGTTCCCCATCTGACCTAACGTCTCCAACAGTGTAGCTAGTGTCTAAGCTGACGTCAGTTAAATAATTTACATAAATTCATGATATTAGAAGAGCTGTAACAGAGTGTCCGCTATAGAAGCCACTTTAGTTCATGTTTAGAAATCTGTCGCTGAATTTAGGCCAGTTTTTTCCATACGTAGAGTCCTCTAAAGTACTTTACTGGGTTCACCAGTTGACCCATGATGTATGAGGTATCTGAGCATGGTGTGGCGTGTGAATTATGCGTCCAAAATTGTCAAATATTAACTGACTAACTAACTCTGGCTGCTACTCCGATGACTCAGCTTAGGAACACTACAATCTGTTTTAGAGAATGCTCTCTGACTTTTTTAGTTTTAACAAAAATTTGAGTATGATTTGGTTAAAGTTAGGAGTGGCCAGATTTTTGTCCTTTTTGCTTGATGGTTTAGGTTCTTTTTCTTCGGTGGTTAACGATTTATAACCTAGCTCTACTGTCTAGGCAGTATGACTATACGTTGTACATTTTGTTATTAATAAGGCTCTGTTCATGGTGTTCGCTCAAATGCGCACAGACAATGATGGATCTCAGCAGAGACCGAAACAGAGGCCTAACTTCATCTGTCTGTATGACAAGAAGCAAATTATCCGTTTCCAGGCTTATTCAATACAGATTTTTCATTGACGACAATTTACTTTGCTTCCAAATCATAATTAATTATCCAGAGAGAACTATCAATTTGGACAAAGTCATCTAATGCATTGTGTAACAGGTTTAAGCATAATCAGTGTGGCCTTTAATAAATTTAATTGAGTATGTAGGCTGCCTGTCATATTTAGGAATCAACAGGTATCAAATCAAATAAGCTTTTTGACTCATTTTGTCTTTTGTTGATAAAAGAAACTTTTAGTAGGTATATAAAAGAGCATTGAAAAATAGCATTAGAGCTCGTAAAGGCTGAATCTAAACATTGCCTGTTAAATCAGATAAGCCTTCTGTAACATTGACAATGTTTATCCAATGTCTGTTTTTCACAGAGAGGCTTGGGGGATACAACATACTGATATGTTTTATCAGTAGTTCTGCTGCAAGGCAAACCACAGGTTTATATTAAAGCACTTGTTCTTATACATTATCCTTTCTATAGTAACAGCTAACAGTGGGACTTGTATGGCAGACGTTCCACATAAACAGATTTTAAAAATGTGTGTAATTGTTGGTATGTGAGCAGATGTTTATTTAGCATTTATTGAAGAAGTCTCAGGTGTCAGCATTTTGTAACAGACAGTGAGTATTCTTTCACGGGAGAGGCTTCAGGACACAGTGCTTTGTTCCTTTTGGTTTCTTGGTAACATGACAAGCTTTGTATTTTTGTCTTATTAACTTCAACAGAAAGAAAGAAGACAACATTAGATTAGGTAACAGGAACTAACTCGTCTTGCGGACATTCCACAGCATTTAAAATTGTAATCATTGGCAGATTGCGGTGTTATAAAAGGAATAAAACAGTTCAGGATATGCTTTTTCTGGAAAATATTCAACTGCCTTGTTGATTATTGTCCTATAACATAACATGTCCCCTGTCGTGTTTTTTTTCTTACATATACTGTATATACCTGTCCCATTGGCAGGTAGAGGAAAATTTTCAATTCAGACCCTGACATTAAGGCTTGAAAGATCTAAGGGTGTCTAGGGATGATTGTGTAATGCTGTCGAACAATAGTATTAAATTATTGCTTGTGCTTCCATCTAAATTGGAATCTTGACATATATATTGTCTTTGCTTTGGAATCCTTCTGAACACATTGGATGCTTTTAAGAATTAAAAAAAGGCTTCAAGCAAATTAATCTCTTGAGAAGATAAGGCACAGGTAAATTCAATCAGAAGAGACACAGGGTCACAGGCTTCAGAAGTCTCAAGAGTGCTGAGGTCTTTGGTGTGAATTGCGTGTTTGAAAAGTACTTCAGCCATCTCAGGGCTCTCAGGTAAATTTTGAATAACATGTATATCTTTGACTTAACAAAGAAATATCTTGTTTCTCTGCAGGCAGGCAGTGACTGTTTGATCATAACCATTTATCCTCCCATCTATTGTCTGCATGTATCCATGTGTCCATCGTGGTACAGTGTACTCTCTATAAATGACATAAATATGACAGATTCACCACTCCCTACTAGACATTGTGATTCCTCAAATCCTACAGCCACAACAGAGCATCAGAGAAAGAACATAGAAACCTTTCAGTTCCCTAAAACACACAAACACATTCATGCAAGAAAGACATCTGTAGTGGGTGTGGTGCTATTATGTAGAAATAGAGAGAGAGAGAGAGAGAGAGAGAGATCGTGTATTTTTAGCTGAGCGAAACAC